TGACCTCGATCTTAATTGGTTGTTATTGACCTCTAACCCGTCGTTATCTACACTTCTAGGTTTGTTTAGTAATACAGATCACCATTAGAAACCTGGAAGCATCGCAAGACTGCCTTTTCGTCCTGGTATGAGACACATCGGCAGCGCTTATTCATGAACTCCTCTGCTCGCAGGAATCGAACCTAGGACCTTCGGTTTAGCGAGCGATCGCCTAACGTCTCGATCACTGGGGTAAAATTTAGGACTAGCTCTGTGAGGAGGTTTTTCCAAGCTCCAGTGAGAAGTTATGACCAGTGGAGTTCAATCATGATCGGGTGTGAAGCGGTGCTCACTGAAGATATTGGATGAGTTTGCGCAAGAACGTGTACTAATCTAAGTTAGCCATTAAAACTGTTAAATACCGGCTCAGTCGTCCGGAGTTTAGGTGCTCCCTCGCTAGACCGAAGGTCCTAGGTCCGATTCCTGCGAGTAGAGGGAGTAGTGGATACACACTGGCGACATGTCCCATACCGAGACGGAACGGCCATCCAGTGCTTCCAGGTTTCTAGTTGTTTTCTAGCCCGACCGTAACGCTACCTTGGCTTGATGGTCGAGCTTGACTATCGGGATGAGACCCAGTGGAGCTATATTCGCTAGACAATACATTCCTTTAGGTCCAACCATGCGAGGCCGATCGGCTGGTGAACGGTGAGACTAAAAGCAGCAACTTAAGGTCTGGGGGCGAAGTCTTACTGCTGGCTGCAGAGGGGCGTGACAGCAGTAAGGTGTTTCCCTCGGACAACCAGCATCTGTAGCGATGCTACTTTCTCACAAGGAAAGCAAAGCTTAGAATAGGTCGACCCTAAAAATGTCATACCTCACCCTACCTCACGGATTTCCGTCTCCAGCGGTAAGGGCTTCTGGACAAAAACGGAGCTAAAACTTCAAAAACTTCTCGTAAAAAGGAGGCATATGACCGGCCTCAAGCAGTTGTTCCTTGGGATCTGCGGTCACATTTCCAGGTCTCTAAGACCAACTTTAATCTATCTTCCTTTTCAAGTCCCTCAAGAAACACCCTTCCATGGTGTGGGCACCCGGGAAGTGACAACCGCCCTCATACCCGTAACAGCACACGAGACCAAATCGGTCATAATCAAATCCTTCCTAAGGCCACAAAACGTTATTCCTGGTCTCCTGAAACCTCGTTCTAAATTACATTTTGGAGCTGTACGGACACTGTCTCAAATAGGGCAACAGGCATCATTGGCTAGGACTTTAGAATCTCGCTCCATCGATGTATGCTGCGTATCGGAAACGCGCATACAGTATCCGAGTAGTTTCATTCACTTGACCTCATCATTTCAAGATAAAGAATCAACTTGTTTCACTCTTCGTGTATCCGAAAGCCCTGATGCTGCTTCTCATGGCCTCGCTGGTGTAGTCCTAGGGCAGAACTAGCTCTCCTAGACTAGATCCCAGTAGATAGTCGCTTGTGCGCTATCCGACTAAACGGGATAGCAAGGACTTGATAAGATAGGGTCATTCGCCGATGCCTATTTGTTGTATTTACCTAAGCTCCCGCTGATCGCAGTTCAGGTGAGTTTTGTATAAAACTTTCAGACCTCCAAAAAGTTGGGTGCTCTGAAATAGTAAAAGTGACTGGTGATTTTGTGCTTAAGTAGGTAGACTAAGAGAAAAGGAAAGATACCTGGGTGGATCTCATGGTATCACGAACAGATAATGGACACTGTCTGCTGTAGTTATGCTCAGATAACCGCCTATTTCTGGCAAATACTAACTTTAAGCACAAGGTAAAACATCGTTTTACATGGCGACCTCCAAAGCCGACCCAACGCTGAACCGAGCTAGATCACATCACTATCAGCCACCAATGGAGGGGTTCGATAGAGGCTCTGAACATGACGAAGAGCGAAATCAGCTTAAGCACAGACTGATAATAATCTTACACAATGATCGCGGACAGTGGTGGGTAGAGAAAGCGAGAGATGGAAAAGGCAGCGGTGATAAGTAACAGTAGACAACTGTTCAGACTTATCACGGAAACTACTATTAGGAATCCGAATGTGAGTGAGACTATTTCGGAAAAGGATGGTCTCATTATTCATTCTCAATCCACGAGATTGTATCGATGGGTAGAACACTCAACGGATTAGTTCAACTGGCCTCTAGCCACACTTCAGTTGACCACGATCTCCAGTCAACCTGTATTTTGGGACATGTGTTACGAATGCCCAACCACCGACTGCTTCGTCGATTTAGGAATAGTTCAGAAAAAAGCTAGAGGCGGTAAAAACAAAACATGGCAGAAATCCATAAAATCACTGACAAGTGGACTGTCATGTTGGTAGATTTAGACTAGCTGGTTGGGGTCCACGAGACGATAGACATGTACAACCCATTTGAAACGATAATAACCAATGAGATCAATTCAGAGTTGGATACAAATTAATTCTTTTTTAATAAGTAATTCTATGTATACTCACAATTTGTCGATAAAATGACATTACGAAATAATGAATGATCTTAGTAAGTTCAATCATACCATATAAGCACAGAGAGATAGAATTGTCAATTCAAATCCTATAGTGGTGGAGTGAGAGCCTATGGCGAGCTGTCATCAGAATTGATTACCTCGAGTGGTGTCCATCAGGACTGTACACTTTCTCCGTCCTTGTTGAACTTGGTCGTTGACATGGTTTTACGGACGACACTTTCATCATGACTTCTCAGGAGATTCGCTTGTTGACTTAGAATATGCTGACGACATAGTCTTCTGTGGTGAAGACGCTAAAAATAAATGTAGTCTTTTGAACACCTTAGGCAACAATACAAGCATATTTGGTGATATGCTCGAAACTATTACGAGTTCACCTTACTCGACAAACGGAACGAAGATCAACGATGCAGTGACACGACAGGCTATTGTTAGGACATTCATCCAATATCCTAAGAGAATTAGTGGCCAATTCCCATTGGTTAATTCCTACTGGGGAATTTTATGGTCGTCCTAGATATGAATGTCATGTGCTCCAATGTTATTTCTTATTGCTTGTCCTAACTGTCAACGTCACAGACTTCGATACTGTTTCCTTCTTGACCTAAATGTATAAATACGCATTATCTGTAACATTTTATGACCACTAACAGGACCCGGTCCCGGATCCTGTTCCTCTACTGGATTCGGACCTCAGTCAGTCAGTCAGATGCAACGTAGAACTTCGTACGTAAGTACATCAGTTCATGTCGCCATACCACATCAGCACAGAAATGTAATTGTCAATTCAAATCCAATAGTAAAAGAGGTCGCAAAATTATTGGAAGTAATCGCAGAGGTTAGGATTAGAAGATATTATTCAAGAAGTATGATTCAGTGAGAAAAGTTTAGAAAGTCAAAACTAGAGGTGTTGAAGAATCCAGAAGATTAGGATTTGAGAGAACACAAAGAATAAATGCACCTGCGCCATTGCGAACGATTTTGAGCCATGTCATTCAAGGTCTCTAACCATCGATTATTATCATCTCGCGGATCCCAACCAGGTAGTCGACAATTACCGACATGGCTAAGTCTACTCGTCAATGACTTCATGGATTTATGCCATGTTTTGGTTTGGCCGCCTCTAACTTTCTTCCAACCTATTCCTACACTACAAAACAAAGCTCGAAGAGGCAGTCGGTGGTTCGGCATACACAGCACATGTCCCAACCAACTCAACTGATGAAGTTTCACCACTTCATCGATTGATCTGCCATTCTTACCTAGCACCCGATTCCTAATAACAGCGTTGCTCACTCGGTTGTCCCACGATATACGAGCAATGCTTCGAAGACACCTATGATCGAAAACCAATAACCGACGAGTATCTTCTACTCTCATTGGCCATGTTTCACAGCCAAAAAGTAATACGGAGCGAACCACTGCGCAGTACATTCGTCCTTTAGTCAGTAAACGGATATCTCGCCTTCGCCATAAGTGACGCATGTTGGCAAAAGCCAATCGAGCCTTCTGTATCCGTGCTGAGATTTCGTCAGTCACCAGGCCATCGGCACTGATGAGACTCCCAAGATAAGTGAAGCGGTTTACACGTTCGACTTCGTACTTTCTGGATGCTTGTAGAATACAGGTTCTACTTCATATCAAGTCTTCTTATTTTTACTCAATGCGGGTTGGCATAATCGGATTTGAGTAGTATGTCGTGTCACCGGATCCTCGTTCTCGTTTTCCGACCAGGTAAACTCGTAATAGTTCAAGTATATCAAGTTGACGTGTTTACGTGCAGGCGTAACAATTGTCTCAGGCCCCATTAACTACAGGAAGAAGTCTTGACAAGAGAAAGTATTTCACAGGCACCCATAAGGTAAGAAGAGTTCAACAAGCACATAACTCAAGCTTATTTATATAATGATAAAAACGCCCTTGGTGAAAGCCACAAACTAGAGCGTACTAAAATAATCTATCAACCAATGACAGTCAAGGATTTTCCGAGTTGGAAATGTAAGCCAAACATCAACTACCCATAAGTTTCATTGATTGGTTGGAGCTACTGAAACTGTTCGCTTCGTCTCCAACAGTTTGTCTTACCAATAGTTAGTCAGTTAGTCAATCAGTCAGATGCAACGTAGAACTTCGTACGTAAGTACATCAGTTCATGTTGCCATACCACATCAGCACAGAGATGTAATTGTCAATTCAAATCCAATGGCAGTAGAGGTAGTAAAGGTATTAGAAGTAATCGGAGAGGTTAGGATTAGAAGATATTATTCAAGAAGTTAAGTCATCAGACAGTCTATGCCAAATTCATTTGAGAAAGATTTTATTTGGAATCTAATTGATAGCAAGGAAACAATAGCGTTCAACAGATTACATAAATTTATTATGAACGCCAAAACACATTTCGAAATGTACAAAACTAAAAAACAAACAACTTTTCGTTGAAATAAACTTGAAATTATTTAAATTAAATGAATAATCTGTTTACAAAATAAACAAAGAGAGAAGCAAATCACTCGCATTTTGACTTGACTTGAGTTGATAATGATGATGACGATGACTAAAATAAGAAGAAAAATTAGATTTAACTAATCGAAATAATTGACTAACCTGACAAGTATCAGTTAAATTATTTTCTGTAACATCATTCAATTGTTCCTTTAGTAAAACACGGTAGTAGAACGGAAGACATAGAAAAAGCAAAAGGGTTATGAGATAAAAAAAAAATTTAGTAACATCAACAGTTTAAAATTTATGAAAAGCAGTTTATGCAATCAAGGCAATAAAAACTGTTAGGTGAGATCAAAAACTCACTCCTTACAAATATATATATGGCTGTGAAACATGGCCAGTGAGAGTAGAAGATATTCGTAGGTTACTGGTTTTCGACCATAAGTGTCTTCGAACCATTGCTCGTATATCGTGGGACAACCGAGTAAGCAATGCTGTCGTTAGGAAACGAGTACTAGGTAAGGATGGCAGATCGATCGATGAAGTGGTGAAACTTCATCACTTGAGGTGGTTGGGACATGTGTTGCGTATGCCTAACCACCGACTGCCTCGACGAGCTTTGTTTTGTAGTGTAGGAATACGTTGGAAGAAAGTTAGGGGCGGCCAAACCAAAACATGGCACAAATCCATGAAGTCATTGACTAGTGGACTGAGCCATGTCGGTAATTGTCGACTACCACCTGGTTGGGGTCCGCGAGATGATAATAATCGATGGTTAGAGACCTTGAATGACATGGCTCAAAATCGTTCGCAATGGCGCCGGTGCATTTATTCTTCGTGTTCTCTCAAATGCTAATCTTCTGGATTCTACAAAACCTCTACTTTGACTTTCTAAACTTTTCTCACTGAATCATACTTCTTGAATAATACCTTCTAATCCTAACCTCTTCGATTACTTCCAATACCTTTGCGACCTCTTTTACTATCGGATTTGAATTGACAATTACATCTCTGTGCTGATGTGGTATGGCGACATGAACTGATGAACTTACGTACGAAGTTCTACGTTGCATCTGACTGACTGACTAACTTCAAATATATATAGGATTTTCGAAAATAAACCTATCCTATCCCTGTTATAATTGTTTAACGGATTGCTAGAAGCCTTCAGAAATTGTATTACACAGCGCATTGATTAAAATTAGGGACGTGATCAAACAGTGTCGTTACAGTGCCAAGACTTGAAAGTTAAGCGATTGATTTATGAACATGTACTGTTCAATACTCTACGAGTTTAGTCATTTTGTCGATGAATTCGACGCTCATGATGAAACTTAACAACATAAATCATGAACTAACGTCTTACAATTACAATTCATTAGATGTTTTGAGTACAAAATATGAATGAGTACATAATAAACATTGTATAGGGACAATTTTTTAAACTAAGGATGCACTAGAGTTATTGTGACGGTATTTTAGTACGATAGTGAACACCCGAAAATCATTTACATCACAATCATGATGTAAAATAGGAATGAGGATTAAAAAAAAGATGATAGCTCTTACCGATTTTTCCTTAATTGGCTCCGGACTAGGTTTTAAACTTGGAATGAAATAGTGTACAACTGGAAGTAGAAGACGATGTAATATCCACAACAGTACCGGAATTACAATGCATGGAATACAAACCATTTCTTCAAATATATTATTGATAACTTTTACTGAAACATGAAAATTAAAGTTTAAAGTTTAAATTGGTGAGTCTAGAACAAATTTGCATTATGAGAACTCTGTGAAAAGTGAACAGTTCAGCAACATTTGGAAAACAAAAAACGGACAAATAGGGAAATATCTAGCCATTTATCAACGGCAAGCGAAAAATCGACTTTTTGATGAGTATTTCTATTCATCCCTTTTACGTTCGCTTTTACTCACTAAATCCGCTACAGCGTTGAACTCAGCAAGCACATACATCAGTTTAAGTTGCCATATTACATCAATACGGAGAGATGGAACTGTTAATTCCAATCCAAAGTAGCAGTATAAACGGGAATCAAAAAGACTAGGGATCGAAGATATGATCCGAGAAGTATGATCCAGTAAAATAAACTTACAAAGAGAAAGATAAAGGTGACGAAGAGTTTAGGTTAGGATTTGAGATAACACAAAGAACGGATGTACCGCCGCCATTGCACACGATTTAGAGCCATGTTATTCAGTCTATAACCACTGCTAACGATTGTCTAGCTGACCCCAACCAATTAGTTTACACCTAATAGCATGGCCTGGTCTAATGGTAAGTGACTTGATAGATTTGTGCCATGTTTTGGTTTGGCCACCCCTAGTTCCCTTCCAGACTACTATATCAGGCAACTTCGCTCATCAAGGTAGTCGGTGGATAGACATACGTTGCATATGTCTTAACCACATCAACTGATCAAAAGTTACTACTCCATCAATTAACTTGTCATTTTTACTTAGCATCCTATTCCTAACCTTAACATTGCCTACTGTGTGGTCCCAGAATATAAGAGCAATGCATCAAAGATACCGATGATCAGATACTAGTAGCCTACGGATATTCGTTATACTCAGTGGACAGATTTCAAACTCATACTGTACAGCGGAGGGAACTGCTGCACAGTAAACTTGTCTGTTGGTTAGAGGATAGACGTCTTTACTTCTTTTTTGGTCTGCGATGGCGGACCAAAGCATGTTTGGGTAGTATTAAGACAATATAACACAAGAAACAGTAAGATTACCACATATTTAAGTGAACAGTACATTTTCCGAGATTATAAATTTGATTATAATAGCCTAAGATTTACAACAGAGACATCCTACAGTGGTAAAACGCATTTAATGTACCAGGCTGACTACAAAGTCGATAAAGTCCTAATAAGGTTTAGAAAAAATGTATTCATATCAACTAATACACGAACAAACTCATAAACAAGCAACTAAGATACTTACTGAAAGAAATTTAAAGAAGAAACTGATACCTTCAGCGGAAAACAATGACTAAGTAGCGCACACTACAGAAAGGGCACTTTTACACCTATGCGTCCAAGTTTCAATATCCAATATCTTTTTCACGAGCTGGTTTCTTTGCACTCGATTCCTGTTTTTTCGGTACGGTTCCAGGTGTTTGGTGGTGCCCAATGAATGGGGGTCTAGCCACCTGACTGTCTAATTTTAGTCATTTGGCAGTTGGTTGTGAGTTTGTATGTCCCGAGATTTGAATGATTATATTTGTTTCAGGGCAGTAAGGTTTCTGTATACCAGCAGCTATCATATTACCAGACCTGAGATCAGTTGGCCGCAACGGGGGGAATAATAAAGAGAAAATTCTAAAGGTTATAAGAAGATTTCCGAACTCAGTAATATGTAGAAAATTTAGTCTATTAATTGGTAGTGAAGATTGTAAGAGAGGTCCTAAGTGTAAGCAAGGGAGGAAGTATAGATAATAGGGAAGATAGGTTAGGTTGGTGATCTGAGGAGATGGCAATAACGACTAGCAATTATCAAGACATGCATCACGCACAGCTTGTCCACCGGGGAGACGATAATCCGTGAGTGAGCCACGATAGGATCGGGTCAGTAAAGCCGATTTCCGCAACCTTCACGATTAGGCGTGCGCGGGGTACTGTGTCGAACGATTTTTCAAAGTCTAAAAATATCATATGCACCGGTATTTTTCGGAACAAGAAGGATGTCCAACTGTCCCATGCTATGAGATGATTGGATGCGCACGACCTGCCTTTCCAAAACGTGTGTTGTGCTGCATGGAGTATTTTTTCTCATCCATCTGTTCGTACACCAGCCCTACAATTACCTTTGACAGTATTGGTAGTAATGAGACTGGTCTGTAGCATGCTGGGTCCTTTCTATCTCCCCCTTTGAAGATTGAAGAGAGAGTAGCTTGTTTCCATTCAGCTGGGAGTTGGTGTGACTCCAATGAATGCCTGAATAGGTCACAAATCTATTAAAAAAGAGCTACAGCAAGTCGTTTCAAGACTATGGAGCGAATATTGTCACGACCTGGTGACTAACCTGAGCGTAAGGATTTTAGTTTCCTTAGAACTAAGTCAGGAGTGATACGAATGTTCCCTAAACCATTAGCTGGCACTGGGTTTGCGTAGTACTCTGAACATGTGCATGCTTGGTTTAAATGAACGGTAAATTTTGTGTTGAAGATCTTAGCCATGTCTTGGTTGGTGAAGTCTTCTTTATTCGGAACTTTGAGAGAACACGCACCCTGATTCGTAGATTCTCTTTTAGTCATGAACCTAAAAAGATATTTTGGGTTTGTCTGTATTTTGACAGTTAGCTTAATATGAAATTGTCTCCTATCACTTCGAATTTTGGTTTTGCACCTATTTCCCAATGCCAAGTAATAACGACGGTCGAAATCCTCCAAGTTGACCTTCCACTCGTGCCAGGCTCTCCTCTTCGCCTGTAACAAGCGTTCGTTGCTGCGCCTAGTCCACGTTCTTCTATACCCGAGTGTGTGGTGTGACTGAGGTATATCGTCTACGACAGCAATTTGGATGATATCTCTCACTGTTTGCCAGTCATCATCTACTGTCAGCCTCAAACACTCCCATGGCCATGGGGCATGTAAAAGGCTCTCTCAGAAACGCATGTAATTAGTCCTAGTGTAGCAAAGATAGGGCTCATTTTCATCCAGCTCAAGTGTTTCGTTTATGGCCATGTCAAACAAGACTGTGCCATGGTCACTACTTCCTACTGGTGTATTGACGTGAACATCCTCGACCAGGAGTTGATCATTTGTTAACAAACAGTCCACGTTTGAGCACTTTCCTTCCATCTAGTGGCACTGTATACATGCTCAGTAAACCTAGAGATTCTAATCGCTGAGCCAAATCATCTTTGGAACCAACGAGTGGGAGTTATTCCTTGACTGCTGACATTTAGAGAAGGAATGTCGAAATCTCCAGCTAATAGTATTTGGTCAGACGTCAAGAGTGGCAGTTGTAGTATTGCCTCAGTAAGTTTATCTCTCTGGGCCCTAGTATCTGAGGGAGGACGAAAGATCCCTCCAATCAAGTATTTTGTGCCATTTGTGTGGAAACAAGACCTAAGTGATTCTGTCACCTTAATTAGTTGGGTGTCGTATGGCCTCTCGGCTTTTAAGTGCCTGTTTATGTACAAAGCCACTCCGCCTTTTGTTTGGTGTACTCTATCGATTCGAAAGAGTATCATGCCTTGCAAGCTCACTTCGTCGTCTGCAATGTCAGGGGATAGCCATGTTTCAATTAGGATTATGATATTCAGATCCATCTGAGAGCACACATTGCTGATTTTTAACGGCTTACCCCTTATTCCTCTTACGTTGCTTTAGAGGCACTCGATCGTTTGTCTCAGTGCCTGGCGCACCTCTGCAGCGAAGCCGTTGTTGGATATTCAAACAAGTTGTTAAAACCGAGTTGGCCAGCTCTGTGGGAAATGGCCTCTGCAGAATTTTTGCCCGTGCAATGCGTTCAGTCGGTGAGGCTGTTATCTCCGCACATGTGCCAGGGGTTGTTGATCGGTGTCAACTGTCAACTTTGTGCGTTTATTATGGCCTCTCTGCTGTTGTCTCACAAACCTAAGTCGGCTAAATTATGAGCACTCAGTGTTTTCAATTTATATAAGAAAATCTGGCTTCTTAAATGACCTTTGCATCTTGATGTTATGAAACAGTTCGATAAAAGAGAGTTGTCTACTCAGGGTTGCTTACAATCACCTTTTCTCTATCTTCTCGTGGTTGACTGGGTTATGATGACGTCAACATCTCAATGGAAGCACGGAATACGATCGTCCTATGAAACTGGACGATATGGAATTCTCAAACCTCATCTATCCGACACAACTCAATAAATGCGTGAGAAGAAAATCAGCTTATCAGCAGCCAATACTTCAGTGGGTTTCAACGTACACACACAGGAGAAAACTCAAGTCCCTCCGATACAGCACATAATGCATCAACCAAATCACACTTGAAGGAGAAGTTTTGGGAGATTTGGAAAGGCTTGCATAACTAGGCAGCATCAATGATAGTCAATTTGGATCTGAAGTGGATGTGAAGACACGGATTAGCAGAGCAGAGGCAGCATATCTAGAAGTCAAGAATATCTGAAATCCAAGCTAACTATCAGCCAGCACTAATGTCGCAATTTTCAATACAAACGTCATGACAGTTTTATTATATGGGGCGAAAACTTAGAGAACTATTAAAGCTATTAGCCACAAGATATAGATAATTATAAACGATTTTCTACGCAGAATACTCTTCATATGTTGGTCAGACATCATCAGCAACAACCTACTATGGGAGAACAAACCAGACTGCAACTGATTAACAAGTTAAGAAAACGTTCTGAGGATGGGTTGGGCATATTACGGAAATCTCCCATCTGCATCGTGAGGCAAACTCTGACTTGCAACCTTCAAGAACAAAGGAAGAAAGTTTAGGATGACAAACACAACGCCGAAAACGGGAGAAAAAAGTTGAAAGAATGAATAGGAATTGAGAAGAACTGGATATGTGGGTCCAAGATCGAGTTGGTTTAAGGTTGTGGCCGGTAGGCTATACTAAGTTGGGTTTACTGGCGTAAGTGATGAACGCTCATGATTGGAGGTTTTTTCGCACTGAAGAATCTTGCTGAATGAGCCAAGTAAGACCGTATAATTTTGATTTCATGTATTTACTTATATTACCCAACTACTGTTGGTCTCAGTACTATTGTTCAGCTTCCTAGGATAGTGTAGGCGTTCAAATCATGTAGTGTTATACCGAAAATACCTTATCCATTAACTTTCTGCCTTAGGTCACCTTACGTTGGTCATTCGTTCGTAAAATACCGCCCGAATATGAACCACGACACTGCTTACAGACTTGGAAACAACGCATATACACTATTAACGGCAAAACACAAGAAATCATTGCGTTGTAATTTCTTTGTAATACGATACAGTCTACTGTGGAACAGGTTACCAATTACTATCCGTATCTGTGACACAATCACTAAGTTCAAGAAACTAGTCATGCTGTTGCTAGACTCTAAAGAGATTTATCGACTATTCCCGGAACTCACACAAAGTCCCCAGGCACTCTTTTATGGTCCACCAAATATTTAGATAAACCTCAGAAACGAATTACAGACTATGAACACATTGTGTTCTCATCACCACCCATACATGTATCTCGAAATGATAGACGAATCCCCCTGCTCCTACTAACAGTAATAGGTTACGCCTTTGAAGTGTTACCCGTGACTTTTCTCTGAATTTAAATTCCGATTATTATTTTCATATCTTCAAAGCAGTTTTAGTTTTTATTTCTAGTAGACAGACAAATTGAAAAGCCTGTAGATGCTGATCAACTACTGTCAATTACAAGGAACTCAAACACCGTGTATCGTTGTGAGTATCTTCTTATTTAAGTATTAACAGTTTAACTAATTTTTATTTCCCCAATTCATTAACATGCAAACACCTTGCCTGTTTACCAACTTATCGCTTTACTCATTAATTTTTAACATTATTTCAACTCCTTTTTTTCACTTTCTCCTCGTTCCAGCTCCCTGTGCTTCCTATTTCCAAACTACGTATTAATTGACTCATCTTACAAATCATACCATTCGTTTACTTAAAATCAGTGTGAAATGCTATGTGGATATATTGTCTGGTAAAGTTGTCTGGACTGCTTGTAATGTTGGAACTAGTAGAGAATGTTAATTCCAATAAGGTGTACAAAAAAAATTGAGAGCAGACAAGAGACCATTATTTACAATCAACCATTACACATAAGAGAGCCTAACATCACAAAAGGAGGGAGGGTGGTGTATCTGACCAGCATTTATGACGGTGGGGCGATAACCTCAATCTACCCATGTCTGTGTGGCAGAACATTTTGTTTGCTTACGGCTCCTTACGATATAGCAGGATGTAACGAGTCAGTGATATTGATGTTACTTTTCCTTGTTAACCTCGTCTATAACTCATGTCTGTAATAACAATAATAATAATTATTATTATTTATTCTCAAATAACAAACATGTTACAAGAGACATGCCAATTTACAGGCAAGATCAAAATGTTAAGATTAGCAACATATTTTTTTTTAAAACAGTATACAGTTACTGAAACTTTTCACGAGATTCATTGTTTTCTTAAAGATGGAATGTACAAAGCGAGTAATTGGCGCAAGTTACGAAGGTTGCGTTACGACAATCATCTTATGGACTGAGGAACGATTCATGGTACAGATGGGTTTTCATATAACAAGAATTGATGCGGTAAATGTAACCTTGCACTGGTTTTTACTTCCTACCGAGAAATCCTATTACAAGCTGGTCTGGACAACTATACTAAAAAAAGAGCTCATTCATAACTTCTTGAGCCTCAGAGTTAAAAATAAAATGAATAAATAAGACAAAAAATTATATCACTGAGCTTCTTTATTATATTTTGTAAATCAACATTGTTACTAACAACTTGGTTCTTCGGAATTTCCTCTATTCATTCGACTAACTTCCCATTAGTTATCTCAACAATGAATTGTCTTCATTAACCTACATAAGTGCAGGTGTACAGTTTTTGTTATGATATTAAAAAAGTCTGAGTAAACATACATTTGTTCTATCCACAAACGTATGTGCGAAGCCGTTGTTCGGCTTTGAACAAGAATATTTTCTGTCCCGCTCCTCGTCCCGTTTTCTTTATTCCTCTTTTTTCAGAACCTTATTCCAATCCACATATATTAGTCCGGATATTTGCAGTAGACTTGGTTACCCTACCCAAGAACATGTGAAATCATTAGCTGATGAATATCAACCAGACCTTTTGTACATTTACCGCATCAATTCTTGTTATATGAAAACCTATCTCGACCATGAATCGTTTCTCAGTTCATAAGATGATTGTCATAACGCAACCTTCGTAACTTGCGCCAAGTTCATCGGAAATATACGTGCTTCCTCCCTTCTTGCGAGACATTCATGTCTCAGAATCTTATTCTCCAACAATCACTCCATCGACTTCCTGTAAGCCTTCAGAAAATTAGTAATGGACAATAATAATAATAATAATTTATTCTCAAATAACAAACATGTTACAGGAGATATGCCAATTTACAGGCAAGATCAAAATGTTAAGATTAGCAACATATTTCTTCTAAAACGGTATACAGTTACTGAAACATTTCACAAGATTCATTGTATTCTTAAAGATGGAATGTAAAATGCGAATAATTAGCGCAAGTTACGAAGGTTGCGTTATGACAATCATCTTATGAACTGAGAAACGATTCATGGTCGAGATAGGTTTTCATATAACAAGAATTGATGCGGTAAATGTACAAAAGGTCTGGTTGATATTCATCAGCTAATGATTTCACATGTTCTTGGGTAGGGTAACCAAGTCTACTGCAAATATCCGGACTAATATATGTGGATTGGAATAAGGTTCTGAAAAAAGAGGAATAAAGAAAACGGGACGAGGAGCGGGACAGAAAATATTCTTGTTCAAAGCCGAACAACGGCTTCGCACATACGTTTGTGGATAGAACAAATGTATGTTTACTCAGACTTTTTTAATATCATAACAAAAACTGTACACCTGCACTTATGTAGGTTAATGAAGACAATTCATTGTTGAGATAACTAATGGGAAGTTAGTCGAATGAATAGAGGAAATTCCGAAGAACCAAGTTGTTAGTAACAATGTTGATTTACAAAATATAATAAAGAAGCTCAGTGATATAATTTTTTGTCTTATTTATTCATTTTATTTTTAACTCTGAGGCTCAAGAAGTTATGAATGAGCTCTTTTTTTAGTATAGTTGTCCAGACCAGCTTGTAATAGGATTTCTCGGTAGGAAGTAAAAACCAGTGCAAAGTTACATTTACCGCATCAATTCTTGTTATATGAAAACCCATCTGTACCATGAATCGTTCCTCAGTCCATAAGATGATTGTCGTAACGCAACCTTCGTAACTTGCGCCAATTACTCGCTTTGTACATTCCATCTTTAAGAAAACAATGAATCTCGTGAAAAGTTTCAGTAACTGTATACTGTTTTAAAAAAAAATATGTTGCTAATCTTAACATTTTGATCTTGCCTGTAAATTGGCTTGTCTCTTGTAACATGTTTGTTATTTGAGAATAAATAATAATAATTATAATAATAATAATAATAGTAATAATTTAGTCTCACATAACAAACATGTTACAAGAGACATGCCAATTTACAGGCAAGATCAAAATGTTGAGATTAGCAACATACTTCTTTTAAAACGGTATACAGTTACTGAAACATTTTACGAGATTCATTGGATTCCTAAAGATTGAATGTACAGTGAGAATAATTGGCGCGAAATACGAAGGTTGCGTTATGACAATCATCTTATGGACTGAGAAACGATTCATGGTAGAGACAGGTTTGCATATAACAAGAATTGATGCGGTAAATTTACAAAGGTCTGGTTGATATTCATCAGCTAATGATTTCCCATGTTCCTGTGTAGGGTCTACTGCAAATATCCGGACTAATATATGAGGATTGGAATAAGGTGCTCGATTTTTCACCGGTGTTTCCGTCTTCAGATAAAGATTGATTGAGACTTTTGGATGTATTTGATTTCTTCTTTTTCTGCTTTTTGGACGGGGTACTTGTGGCATTCACTTTCATACTTGACAAATTGCTTGCTGAAGTGTGTTGAAGATTGAGAGAAGAATTCATAGAACTACCGCAAACACGTTCTGATTCACACAAAGCTAGAGCAGGAGGTTTGCCTGACAAACGCTGTTCTATGTATGATCTCAGTTGTCGAATAAATGGAATCACCAAGTAGAAGTTATTTGGTCTTGAATTCAATTTCTCAATAGAAGCAGTATCTTGGATATGTGTCGGCAAATCAGCAATCCCAAACCAAGTTATAGCTTCAATCTCGTTTTTTGTACCAGGCTTCAATCGAGAAGTCCTCGGAAGTCCTTCAACAATGAATGCTCGTCTTAAAGTACCACCAATATAACGATCAATATAGAAAAATGGTAAAATACGATTCGTCAAGTCCAGGCCCGTTTCTTCCATCACTTCACGCGAAGCACAATCAACAAGAGATTCGTCTTGATTAATTTTGCCACCAGGAAGGCTCCAGCGATTACCATAAAATCCTTGGACTAATAAGATCATCTTATAATGTTCGTCAATAATTATCATGCTTCCCGTAGCTGTAGATCCACGATATTTCTTCCACTCGACAAACTTTTCTTGCCAGTTTATACCCTTGGGGACAATAGAAGGAAATTTTCCAAATAATTGTTGCGTCAGTCCAAACATATCGACACCACCAACTGAAGGATCTTCAATGCAATAATCGACATAAAACCAATGAGCCCGTTCAACTTCAAAAAAGATTCTCACGAAATTCTTTGCACAATCTTCTTTTAACTCATCAGGGATATTAAGAATAAATCGCGTGTATAAATGTAACAAAATGTTATCTGGCACAATATGCAGAGGTTCCTGCGTCATCTTTGGTCTATATATTGAGTACAGAAACCATCGGTGTTATTAGGACAAATGGACAGTTCGAATGAGTACTATCGTGAGCATTAAAAACGTGCCAATGTCACGTAATTCACACCTGTTCCCATTGGTTACGATAAAACACATGAAATACTGTTCCGTTATGATATAATGATACTATTTAGCTATTCGAAATCCCACCGACTGACCAAATTCAGATATTCCAGTAGGACCCCAAATACTGTTCCCAAATCTCCAATAATCATAACACAATACCGTTGGAAGAGGTTGTTTATAAGGTCGTCCCGAGCCCGGATACAGTAAGTGTTTTGGGCATGAAGTTAGTGACCCCATCCTTATAAAAATAAATAGCTACAAAAACTCTAACCAGAAGAAGCAATTCAAACCATTTTAACTGAGCTCTGGGAGTTAGGTATTCTTCCGGAGAGTTATAACGTCTCATGATGAAAACCAGGCTCCCACGGAAGTCACGAGGCATTATAAGAATAAACAACCATGGTGAACCGACAGAAAGGGATCAGAGGGGCAATTACTTCAACATGTCGAGAAGTTCTGGGCCAAATGAAGTACCACCACAAGGAATTGATCTAGGTTGGTACTGTTGATAAAACTCAAGAATGGAAGAGCAAAACAGCAGCAGTCAATATCAGCCGAACAAGGGCGGAGAGATTCAAGGCACAAGCTGAATATTTGCAACAAACAAGCCAGTGAAGAGGAGCATCAGAGACGACAAAACACAAACATGTGGGAAATCAGGCAGTGACGGCATGAAAGGCTACAAAAGAAGGAAACTTGAAGCAAATGAATGATACGATAAAGATGCCTGGTGGAAACCAACGTAAACCAGAACGTCCAGAGAAATACAGACATGAGTTATAGACGAGGTTAACAAGGAAAAGTAACATCAATATCACTGACTCGTTACATCCTGCTATATCGTAAGGAGCCGTAAGCAAACAAAATGTTCTGCCACTCGGAAATGGGTAGATTGAGGTTATCGCCCCACCTTCATGAATGCTGGTCAGATACACCACCCTCCCTTCTTTATTTAAGTAGATATAAATGAACTGTGCAATATTCCCTACCTTTGACTACACTCAGGCTGTGTAAAATTTCGCAAACGAAATCTTATTTCAGCTTAAATTAGCATTGAAACTTTGATGATACGTTGATATTTTCTTGATATTCAGGACAAGTGTCTATGGATCTAGTTCTATGATCTAAGGTATTTTTAATAAAAAAAATTTCCTAACATAAACCTTTAAATGATTTATTACTTTCTACTAACGAAAATCTCGTTAGGTGAGTCCTATAATATTCTCAGCGACAGCCTAGGATTTGTTCCGATATGTCTGAGACGCGGTTAATTCCTCAGCCGTAAAGTTCTCGAACGCGTAGACGAATAGCAGAGAACAAATCAGTGACGGTATTATAGAAGTTCCAGTGGCTGGACTACGAACAGGTCCATATGCTAATTTAATTCAGGTCTCGCACGTTATCTCATATCTTTTATAAGAAGAACGAATGCGGCATAGACCGGATGAAATTAATGTATTTGCTGGCGATTTAATGGTATCGAAGAAATGCCGAAATGTGCCACCAGAAGAATATTGTCTTCCTGCAATGCCATTGCATATAACCTCCCCGACCACACATCCTTGAATTCGCTAAAGGATACCTGTCTAAAAGCGTGTGATATGACAAACGTCAGCTGTCACGTCACTCGCCTCAGAAAAAAATCGGACAAATCAACTTGCCCTCTTCTTTTCAAATTCGGCTGCTGCAACGACGCCAAACAATTTATCCGTTTGAACAAAAATATTAGCTCATCAACCTTATACAAAAAAGTAAAGGTTACCCCGGATCTAACGCCTTGTCAATGTCGTGTAAAAACGAGAGAGGCGACTAGATCACATAACAGTGAGACAGCAGACAATATACAGAAAATAAACCTCAATGTCATGAAAGTAAATAAACAAATAAACCACGATGTAGATCTTGATAAGCCTGTGGACTGTAAATCTTCTAACAAAGTAGGGATGCCCTCTGTCACCAAGAAATCGAACGACCATCGCAGTCCTAATCGCAGCTGTTCGAACGTTAACTTGACTGAATATGTCCCAAAAAACAACACAGTTCCAGCTAAAACTAATAAAATTAAGAATCCATCCCCAAAATATATTGCACGAGAGAATAAGATAGAAACTGACGTGTTTTTGAAAAACACGTCCAGGGTACCAGAATTTTCTCCGTCTTTAACTAAGAAGAGTGAACCGATTAAATCTTGGGTCTCAAGTAAAAAATAGGTAGGATTGAAACCCGATTGCCACCGACTTTCCCAACTACGATGAACAGGTTCACTCCTTTAATGTCATGTGATGTGCCCCTGACCTCTCCAAGTTGTAAGACTGATAATATTAAGAACATGTCAGACCAACATCTGAACATGCGCACAACTAATTATTATCCAAGAGCTAGGTGCACTGCCCAACCACCTAATCCTAGAACTATTAGTGAAAGTGGAAATGGAAGATTTTTCACCCCTCACCCTATCCTTAAGACTCGGGCTTTTATTTGCAAAAACGCTGAGAATGAAAACTCTATGCATCCTGCTCTACCAAGCCAGCTGGTAAACATGACCCCCAAATTTAGAAAAGGCCATAGCAACTGGCACTCGTATATGGCTAACCCTCCCCAAGTTAAAACCATTCCGTATAAGTTTAGCCTTAGTAACGAGCTGTGTCATCAAGACATTACTAGAAACGGTGGTGAACTGCAATTCCTGCCGCCAGAGAATGATGGTGACCAGATGAAAAGTGCAGAGCAAGATTAGGAATAAACAAATATTGTATAATACGTTCACTGGTAAAACTGATTATAATAATGATTGTTGCTATTTAACGAATGATATTTTTCCTCATAAATGTAAATTCACTACAGTGCTGTACCTTGAAACTGCCGTGTTTTCTGCTCCTAGTCTAGCCTTCCTAATCCCCCGAATCTGAAGCTTTTGTGATTACTGATTATTGCTTTTTACTATTCGTAGTACATGTGTATGCATTTTTTGCGTACAGGGTCACTGACCCACCTCTTCTCTTGTTTCGCTTTTTGCTGGTTCTTCACCGCCACAACTATCAATAAGCTCCCTCAGCACACTTTAAACCCCCTGGCTAAATGTGAATCGCTTCAAGGGTTGAGAAAATAGACATATTTGATATATGAACGTAATACTTTCAAATTTAATATTTAGGGAAGGAGAGCGATCTCCTACCTTATCTGCTCATCGCATGATGATGATGTTTGAGTGATATTTTTAGCTTACGATCTGACTTTAGTTTGTACGAACGATTAAACACGCTATGAAATAGGTCTCTCCTTCAATTTCCGTATATCATACTTTGACAAATTCAGTTTGCACGATTGCGCTAACAAGAAGCTGGATAGGTTTGTTATGTTCAATTATTGATGCAGACAGACATGAGAATGCAGAGCATACAAGCAAAGGCAAGCGAAGAAGAGTGAAGGAGACTAGTGAGCCAACTTAATGCGACGTAGTATGAATAAGTATTTATAGTCAGACAAAATAGGCTCAAAATATGATCAGAGAAGTGAGCATGGACACACTCCCTGAGTAAAAACCATTAAGGTTCAGAGCAAATAATAGACAAGGTTGAAAAACATATGGATCTCTGGAAAGGAATAAATTAATTAATTTTCCTAAAGTCCAAGAAAAGTTCAGTGGTCTCTATATATTAGTACAGACTACAGATCCTTTTCATTTAGTAGTGTCTACTAAAACTAACAGAGTTAGCATCACTGTTAGGGCCATACTCCCAAGAGTTGTTTTAACTATACAATATACTAACTGGAACCCTGCTCAGTTTCTAAGATCAGCTCAGAAGTTCTTATTTCTGAGTGTTTGAGGTAAGCCTTTCTGGCTAGAGACTTCTAGGGGCTTTTGAATTATTACTTTTTGCCTAGGTAGTATGAAGCATAATATTCTTCTTATAAACTTCCGATTCAAATGATCGAGGAGTAAGATATATCTTAAAATCACTAGGAGTCCATATCACCCTCAACCCGGTGAATGAAAGACAAAATACCTGACATTTCTCATCATCCAAAAACATCATCGGACAGGAATATAAGGAATCTTTGTAGCGGTAAAACCAGACGTGGGAGTATCAAATTAGAGAAACAATCAAACTTATTTCTTTGTTTGTAATTACTAAAATTAAACTACTAGGTCTAGCTTTGTTTAAAACATCTATTTGTGGTTATTCGCCCATCGTTATCATAGTTCCTGCTTTCGCGAGTTATCAAAACTGTGATTTTGGAAATATTTTGTAACATATGTTAATCTACTCCACAGAAGCTCACATCTCTGAAGGATGAGTCAAGCAAAATTGCTGACCGCGGTACGTTTTCAAAAATTAAAATGTCACCGATCCCTGTATAAATAAGTCCTATTAATAGGAATGTTATCATATCGTGATTTGCGAATAGTTCGTCGATAGATAAAAAAGGGCTTTTACGAAAATAAGACAAATCGTTCAGCCTATTATTAGTTATGTGATTTTCAGTCAAATACTCATTCAAAATCAATTCTGATCTCAGCATCCAAAATTACAGTTATGGTAGAGATAACCTGAGTACCCATTTGATCAGTACTGTTGTAAAAGCATAAGATGTACTACAGAAAGCATCACTGTACTAAGTAAAGCTATCCTAATTAAACAGCTACTGATATTTCGTAGTTGTTTTTTATCTGGAAGATCTGCAATTTTTCAAAGCCGTGTTTATTTTTTATATACAGCAAGAGAATGCCTAAGCAGTCAGCTCACTGGTTTTTATTTTAGTTCAGAAGCAGTGGAACTGAAACCTTAATATTGAAGTCTTTTCAACTGAAAAGTAAAACACACCTCAAGATGATATAAACTTAGATATTTTTAGACTTTCCAATCATTGCCTACATACAGATATTCCTTGACAGTTTCGATTGCAACTCTTCGCTAGGTTACCGAATCAAAAACCTAATGCAGAGGATGCATCAGCATTAGTCGTAATTGAAAAGGTTAGAAATCAAAGATTTGATTCGAGAAGTGTAACCCAGGAATAATGTTTCGTATACTCAAATCGTTTGCATCAGTGGCCCTCGGTGGCAAAGTAATAAAAGAAGGGTTGATCGTGGAGATCAAAGCGTTTTTAAAAGGTGCAAGAACGACCTGACTGTCATTAAATCGATCTTTTGTGCTGTTGCGTGCATGAGAGTGGATGTCAATTAGCGGTTGCCCATGCCGTGAAAAGGTGCTTCTTGAAGAACTTGGAAAGGAAGTTGGATTAGCGTTAGTCTTAGGGACCTGAGATTGTGACCACTAAGCCCAAGAGATAACTGCGTGAGGCTGGCCAAGTATGGCTTGTCTTTTGGAAGTTTTTAATATTTTATCATGCTTTAATCCAACATATGTCCCACTAACACTTGTGTTGTTACGAGTAAAATGATGGATGTCACTTCTACACCCTGGAAGGATGTTTCTTGAGGAACCTAAAAAGAAAGTTGGATTAATTTTGGTCTTACAGACCTGGAAGTGCAACCGCAGAGCTCAAGGGACAACTGTTTGTTGCTAGTCACGCATCGCTTTTTTATGGCGAGTTTTTAAATTGTTAGCTTCACCCTTCGAATGGCCGTACCACTGCAGACGGAAATCCATGGAGCGAGGTGAAGCGTGACATTATTAGGGTCAATCTTTTCTAACCCTTGCTTTCTTTTATGAGAAGCCAGCATCAGTGTAGATGCTAATTGTCCGAGGGTAACACTTAACTGCGCTTTCAGAAAAATATAAACGTTTTCCTTAAAAAAATATACTTTTATATATAAATCATTGCTTATAACAACACTACATAAATGGTATTTTTGAATCATTTACTAGACTAAATCACCAAGTTTTCTTTTTTGCTTACTTTTTCAGGCATTCACTGACGTTCCCCAATATGAGGAATATATCACTGTTAAAAATCTACCATTTTCAGTTGATTCTAACATTGTTGAATCAGATTATCAGATTGTGCTACCACCTCTTATTAATGACAAGTGTACAATATCACAAAGACAGCATGAATCCAGTAATATACTACAACGTTTAACTTCCCGTCGAAAAGAAAAACACAACAGCTGCTTGAGAAAATGGCATGAAACACTTTCTGAAATTACTCAAGTATGACAAACACAGTGGATGCTGTTTATTGTAGAGTTGTGGAGACTGTTGTTCATTACTGGAATCATGAATCAGTTATTCTGTTAGACCACCGTTAGAAACCTGGAAGCAGTAAAGGACGGCCGTTTCATCCTGATTTGGGACTCATCTATCCATGTGAATGCTCACTGCTGATGAGTCCCATACCAGGACGAAGCAGCCGTCTTACACTGCTTCCAGGTTTCGAGAGGTGGTCTAACACAATGATTAATTCGTGATTTTGGTAATACAATGGATACTTTTGTTACTTAATCGATAAGTTTCATCTCATATTTCTATATTTATTTTTTTTAAAAATAAACTGTATACATCTCTCTCTATGTTATTGACAAGAATACCAATAAAAATCTAAAATATTGCGCACATATGATCATCTGCGATTTACTCCTGACAGACGTCTACTTTATTGAGTATCAACAGTATGTTTATTTAAAATATGACTACATTTTAGCATTGAGTTACACTTCAGTTCAGTGTTTATCTTTGATAATGTTCATTACCCCTCGAAAAAATTAAACAAATCGTTAAAAACGATATCATCGATAAAACATGTTTGAATCATTTAGTTTTTCCTAATTTAATTCAGTGTTCAATTATGGGTAGTGGTGATTCGTGTGTTTGCCAACCTGCGTCACTTATGGCACAGGCGTGATATCCGTTTGCTAACCAAAGGACGGGTGTACTGCGCAGCAGTTCGCTCCGCTCTCCTATACGGATGCGAAACATGGCCAGTGAGAGTAGAAAATGTTCGTAGGTTACTAGTTTTCGATCATCGATGTCTCCAAAGCATTACTCGTGTATCATGGGACAACCGAGTAAGCAATACTGTCGTTAGGAAACGAGTACTAGGTAACAATGGCTACTATCTTTATCATTATGGGATTTGAATTGACAATTACATCTCTGTGCTAATTTGGTATGGCAACATGAACTTATGTACATACGTACGAAGTTCTTACGTTGCAACTGACTGACTGATTGACTTCATAGTACAGAAAATTTCCAGATATTTCTTTAACTTACTATAATAATTATGAACAGATTAATGCTAGTAAACGGGAAAAAATCATGAGCACATATGAATATATTGTGTGAGAATTTGGATTAAAGCACATAGGTTGTGTACATGGTCTTTATCAGTTTATCTAAGCACCATACTTTTTTAGTGAGCGAGTCAAGATACCAGATTGACTACGATCACCACTAAATGTTCCAAACGGTCCCGTCATTCATATCAAAACAAATCCGTGTACCAAGATTTTATTGAAGGAGTCAGTAGGCATTTCATCGGGAGCAGGGCATTTGGAAAAATGGCAGCAGCGCGAAGAGAACGTTGCGCGCAAGAAGTAGAAGAAGTGTTTTTGGTATAGTTAAGCAAAACGAGTAAAATAATGTTTCTTTTTCACAAATCGTATTTCCTTCGTAGAAACGTTCCACTACACTTTCACACTGACATTTATAAACAAAGATATTTCTTGGTCAATGTTAGACCGCCAGTAGAAACCTGGAATCATTGGATGACAGTTTTATCCTAGTATGGTAGCATTGTGCATTCTCGTTACCCAAACCTGGAAATGGAATCAAGCACATTTGATCTAACGCGTTAATGCCAATCCTCTAGACCACTAAGCCAACATACAACGGTGTTAATGCCGAACTTCAGTCAGTAATATCATATTGCACAACCTCACCCACTGTCTTCTGTATGTAATTGTGCCTACAGGCAACTTAGTTGAACTCCAATGGTCATCATGGCTTCTTGCTAGAACGAAGCTAATCAACTAGTGAGTACATATTATGATTTTCATTATAGCTGAAACATGAATTGATCAATGTGTCCAATGAAACTTAACAATCTTCACAACCATCTTATAATGGCGAATTCATTCAAACACAGCATTCTTTTGATTAATATAAAATTTGTTAAATTCATTTTACAAAATAATAATGATAAATATTGTTTTCCTAATGCCAAAAACATCCTTTGGTAGTAATTATTTTTATAAAAATTTTTTATTAGGATATTGAAAATCAAGTGAAAATATGTTGTGAAAATACGGCTAACTTTTTAACTACTAGTTGGAATAGACAAAATCAATTATTAAATACAAATTTATCTGATGAAGTAAGTCATTTAATTTTGTATTTTTTAAAACAATTTCATTTCACCTCATGAATCGATCCATGTGAGACTACCACTGGGAACTTGGAAGCACTGGATATCCGTTTCGTCGTAGTGTGAGACTTATCTGTAGTGTGTGTATTCATGACCACGCAAGTGCGAATCGAACCTGGAACGTTTAGTTTCATGCAAAAACATTAGATCTCTTGATCAGTAAGCTGGAATCTAACAGCGTTATTATTTAACCTTAATTAATACACGATTCTCCCTGAAAATCATCTATTGTTGTGGTGCGCTCTACTTATAAGTAGTATATGACGTGAGTGAAAACGTAATGTCTGGCAGCAGAAGATGGGGGAAGATGAAGAAAGGAAGAGCGGGAACACAATGGAATTTGTATGAAACGCATGAACAAGTGAAATGCCAGACAATGGATTGATGTTTTGCAAATTAACGGTTTACGATATGGTTTTCCGATTTTACTGAGTAACTGTAATTTTCGCTAAATACAAATCGGTTGCCCTCATCTGTGTTCTCCTTCACTACATTGTATTCGGCTAGTAACTTACAACCTCAAACTCGATACAATTGAACACCATCGGTTACGGCGATCTCATACTAGAACGTAAACAACTGTCCAGTGAGTGATTCCAGCTTTACAATGATCGTCAAACATTGATCAGTTCTTGATTTCAATTCAACCCTACAATCTTCACAACTATATATATATATATATATATATATATATATATATATATATATATATATATATATTGAAAAACGAGTTAGCAAGAGCTTCTCAGTTTGTCAATCATCCACTTCAGTGAGCATGACATCAATCAGAATGCTTGTCACATGAACTGAATGAGCAAATATGCTGAGTTTTTTGCAATACATGCGAGCTAATATTTGAAAAGTTTGTCAGATATATTTATTATTATTATTACGATTATTAATAATTTGGAATTTAAATTTTAGCATTTATTGAAATGGGAAATATCCGATTTAGAGTGCAAGTGGAATCAAGTGAATAATGAGCATAGTCAACGTAGAAATGAAATTAGCAATTTAGAAAATCAATTATCTATACTTGAAATTAAACGTATTGATCAGGTTGAGTGAGACATAATTATTATTATAATGATAAACTTTTACTACTATGTTTTTTGTTAGTAGTATATATATATTTTTTAATTTTTTGTGAACTGATGACTGAGTATGTTATGCAACTAGTAGTAGCTTGTGACTGGAAACTAAAGCTCAACAGATGAACAATGTTAAAAATGAAAGGGATTAGGGAATGATGAAACGTGAGGACCAGTGTGTATGTTTGTCTAATTTTAATCGATTTGTGGAGCGAATTGAAGAATAGTGAACAGTCGGTCGGTTCATGACATGCTTCTGTGACCTTTTGACACATTAGGGGTAATTGATGGAAGTATAGAATATGTCAAATATGACTAGCACTCTGATTGAGGACGCGTGTCTCATCACCTGATCGCCTGGACTTGAACTCAGTACGTTTCATTTTAAATGTTCGTTACACAAATGAATAGCGATTTGAACTTAATAGCTGAGTAGACATGGTGTCTCTCTTCGTTCAAGGCTAGTTAGTATTGGGTCGATCTTTAGGTGTAGAGTGATAACCTTTAGTGCTTGTCATGGTCTGCTTATTGATTTGTGTAAAAGACACAATATTTACTTGTTGAAATCATCAATCAATCATTATTCGACCACCATTAGAAACCTGGAAGCACTAAGCAGCCTTTTCGCCTTCGTATGGGACTCATCAGCAGTGTGCATCCACGACTCATCCACTTTGTTGGATTTGAACACAGAACCTCCAGTTTTGTGCGAGAATGTCTAACCTCTGGACCATTGGGCAGGCATCCAACGGTGTTAATGTCAAACTCTAGTCAGCCTAGGGATTTTGCGCGACCCCACCAATTTGTCTTCGGTAATTACTGACCAAACTCGACATGGTTGAATACTACGAGATGCAGGAGTTGTGGATGTGCACTGCCGGTGAGTCCCGTACCGGGATGAAACAACCGTCTTTTAGTGCTCGCAAGCGTGAAGGAGAAAGTCTGTTTTGGCTACCGAATAATGTATAAATATTCATTTGTATATACATTCTTTCTCCTTAGAAAATGAAACCATTTTTTGACCAATGATAGTGATTTGTCCTTTTGGACACTCGAGTGTTTTAAGTGACTTCATTGAGCCCATTTTTAGTCAACTGTATGCATTACGAATTTAGGTTATTCCCTCACTGATGAATAAATATTTGAGACCAACGGTCCCAGGCTTGATTCCAGTGTGCGGTCGTCGTGGATACACACCACAGATGAGTCTCATGCTAGGATGGAAAAGCCGTCCAGTGCTTCTAAATTTCCATTGGCATTCTAAGATGAATCGATTTTGCGATTTCAATGAAATCAATACCTAACTGTTATACTACAATTTCTTGCTCATAATATCACTTACTCATCAGTAAACAAACAATTAGTTAAAAGTAAGCCATATAAAACGTGGTTAGTGGTTTTCACACCTCATTTAGCACAATTATATCAGTAGTAATAGTATAAGTAATTTTGGAAAATATCAATCATAGATTTAATTTGGAACGAATGTATATGTAGAAGGAATGTTTAACGAGATAAATTTTAAAGTTGAATTCTGAGTAGAGAGAAAAGATGACGATTAGTTGTTGACTTTATGAGTGACTTTATTTTAAGTTATCATTGAAAATTAAGAAGTATATATGATGGTTGAACTGTTGAAGAGTCTCATAGCCGGAGGTCGAAACGGCCATCATTCGATGCTTCCAGGTTTCTAACGATAGTGGTTTTAACGCTAACTGATCCGTGATTTCAATGTCATAATGATAAAATACAACGATAAAAGTTTTTATCCACCAGTTAGTTTTACCTACTTACTTACTTACTTACTTACTTACGCCTGTTACCCCCAATGTAGAAATGCAGCCCTTGCTTTACCGATCCGTGCCCTCACATCTGCATCGGATCCACCTTGGTTGTCGATGATGCTGACAAGACATGTAAACCACCAGTTCATCAGTGGAAATCGAAGGTCAAACTTGAATAAATAGACTTAAAATAGTATTAATAATAATAATAATTACAGAGCTCTATCGGCATTACGCAACAAGAAGTACAGAAGAATGTAAACGTGAAAATGTGAAATTATGACAAACAAATAGAGTATGTGAAAATATGACTCAAAAAAATCATCCATTCAGTAAGATATGACCAAGAAAGGGATACCTGCGTTGACACCAGTTTCTTCTGAACACATAAACTAGGGTTATGGATTAAGGCTTCGTCATAATTATCTCTTTATTACAACCTAGCTATTCCCACTAATGCTTAGTTTATTAGGACGTTAGATCCTCCGAAACTCCCTTCATATATGACTTATCTCGGATTCCACGTTTCCGAGCATGGGCTGTTCAGGTGACCTTGAGATTTCATTTCACGCGACAAAAATCCTTGGCTGTGATTGACTGCTGTGTATTTTAGTGTGCTAGTATTGTAACTGTCCCCAGGACGTTTCTATGATGTATAAATAAACGAGATTTGTGTGCTTGATTGTATTGTGCTCGCTAGGTGTTCATAGAATATAATTTCTACGCTATATCAAAACTTCTTCGCTAGTCTTTTTAGTCACCGGATCAGAATAGCCTACCTGGACTCTGATTCATTGTCTGGTTCTCGTTTATCGACTAAGATGAACCCGTAATAGTCTCACGCATACCTAGTGACGATCATAGCATTAGTATTGATATGTTCGGCACTTAGTATGCTTGAAGCTATTACGAGTTTACCTTAGTCGATAAACGCGAACGAGACTTTTACCAGCTTCCAGGAAGGCTACCCTGAATCCCAGAATCGAAATAGAAGACTTTGTAGGCGTAGAAGTATATTCTACAAGCACCCAGCAATCCCAGTACAATCAAGCATACAACTCTCGTTTAACATAACAACGTCCTTGAGACAGTTAAGAAAATAGCATACTAAAATACACTGTAGCCAATCACAGCCATTGATTTTCCTGGTGGGAATTGAAATCTCAAGGTCATTTGATCAGCCCCTGCTGGCGAACGTGAAAACCGAAATACGGCATTATCAAGCGAATTTTGGGGATCTAACATCCCCAACACTCCTCCCCTTTTTAATAGCGTGTTCTCCTGTGGTTGACTTGCATCTTGACTATTGTTCGCCGCTGTCTGAGGGGATACCTTCGGGAACGAAGAACAGCTTGCTGCTGAGTTTCTTCTCGTGGCGGGGCTCTCGGTAGGTTGAAGGTATCAAGCAAGATGTCAAGGGGAAGGCTTTCTGCTCTTGATGGGCGATCTGGGGCTAGCCGTCTGCGTATCTGATTGCGATGACGTGACCATTTATCACCTCCTACCTCTACTTCGTACATAACTCGACCAACCCTTCTGACCACTCTCGCTTCTACCCAAGGACCATGGTTCGTTCTGTAGTCGCGGGCAAACACAGGGCATCCCACCTCGTAAGCGGATTGTCTTTGCTGCTTTGTCTCTACTGATGAGGGTGCATTGGTCGGATGCATCAGGCTGTGAATCGTTTTCAATCTTCTTCCCATCAGGATTTCAGCTGGGGACTTTTGCTCCGGTAACAATTCATTTGGTGTTGTCCGATAGACGTACAAGAAATTTTGTAACGTTTCGGCTGGCGTCCCCTCCCCTTTTGACTTGAGCAGTGCTCTTTTAAACGTATCCACAAACCTTTCCGCCTGCCCATTCGATTGCGGGTGGTATGGTGGCGAGCGTAAGTGTTTAATAGCTAGCCGTTGACAGAAATTCTGGAATTGGGAAGAGGTGAATTGAGAGCCATTGTCGGATACGATCACATCTGGTATGCCATTTCGTGAGAAAATTTCAGTTAGGAGCTGTATAGTCTTAGTTGTAGTGGGCGGCATAACGGGGCTGATTTCCGGCCATTTAGAAAAGGCGTTGACGACAATTAAATACATAGTTCCATTTATTGGGCCAGCGAAGTCGACATGTATCCTGGACCAAGGATGCTCAGGTTTGGGCCATGAAACCGGCGGAATTTTGGCATTCATCTTTGCCGCCTGCTGACACCGGATGCATTTTTCAACCAACGCTGTGACATGTTGATCCATGTGAGGCCAGTATGCATAACTCCTGGCTATGGACTTCATTCGTTTAATCCCAGGATGACCAAGATGGAACTGTCTCAGAACTTTTGCACGAAGGGATTCTGGCACCACTACTCTTTCACCAAACATCAGACAATCATTGACGATGCATAGTGACTCCCGCCGCTGATACAGTTGCTTCATGTCACCTTCAAACTTTTTCGACGGCCAACCGTTAGTGACATATTTCATCGTCATCTTGATGATGGGATCGTTTCTAGAAGCATTTTGTATGTCTGTTGCAGACACCGGTAATGCGCGAACTGCGTTTGTCAGATAACATTCTGCGTGGTTCTTCGTATACGCTTCTGGGTCATGTCGTTGTGATACCAGGCTGCATATGGTATTTAGCGGGACATCAGCCAATTTTAGCTGGTCGAACCAATCTAAACCAAGTAAATTTAGATCAGCTGGCGTTATATAGCATACCCCAGTAAACGACGAATCTCGGAAAGCAACTTTACATTCCAATTGTCCTAACAGACGAAGATAATTACCACATGCTGTACGAGGCTTTTGTGTTGTGTGCTGCAGGCTTGGGCTGCCCAATTTGGTCCAATTTTTGTGTGAGAGGATAGTGACATCAGATGCAGTATCTATTTGCATTCTACACAAATAACCGTTAATATTAAGAGTAATAAATTTCCTCTCACCTGGTGATGAGCTTTGGCAGGAAGATATTAGGCTCAATGCATTGGTACTGGATCTAGGAACAGGCTTCTTAGCACTTCTGGATCGCTTTGGCTTTTTCTGTAGGCAAAAGCCATCTTTATGACCGATGACTTTACACTTCCTGCATCTATGCTGCCTAAATGGGCAGTTCCGTACATAGTGCCATGAACCGCAGTGCCAGCAAGCAGAAGGTGGATTCATTTTGGGTTTTTGGGCCGAATTGGAATTTTTCTTTTCACTAATGGAATGCACGTATGATGAGAGGCCCTTGTTTTCGACCATGGAGGTATCATGCTTCAAGTTTACTAATCTCTGGCACTCTGCAGTTATTTCTTGAAGCGAGATGTTTGGGCACTGTTCAATTTTACTTAGGATTCTGGTTCTTATATCAGCATCGTCGGGAGATTGTAAGCTGCACGCAAACACAAGGCACTTAAACTGATCTTCCGTCATTGATGATAATTTAAATCGTTCGCATTCACGATTTACTAAGCCAGCATGCTTTACCCAGTCATCTTCATTTGACTTGGTTATTTTGAGGCATTGATAACGAATATTAAAGAGAGATGACTGTTCAGAGAAGATTTGCGACAGCGTATCAATTGTAGCATCAAAAGAGAAATCTCGTGGGTTCTTTGGGAGGATGAAATCACTATAACGTTCGTGTTCGATTGTGCCGAGCTTTCTCAAAAGGATTCTGACTTTGGTGGCGTCATCAAGATTGTTGAGGTCGACCTTGAACAAATCCTCATACTTCTTAAACCAAGACTCGAAAGTCACACCAGCAAGGCCATCAAAATGAAATTCATGAATGGAATTAACTATCGAGTCTGTATGCGGATTATATGAATCATCGGCAAAACCTCTGTGATTCAAATTCATTTGTTTCATTAACAGCTCCAACATACGTTCCTGGAACTGTTCATATCGTTTACCTTGACGTTCCAGTAAAGATTCTAACTGTTCAAGATTAATTGACATTGTGAATTGTGAGCCCCGTCGCCACTGATATGTTCGGCACTTAGTATGCTTGAAGCTATTACGAGTTTACCTTAGTCGATAAACGCGAACGAGACTTTTACCAGCTTCCAGGAAGGCTACCCTGAATCCCAGAATCGAAATAGAAGACTTTGTAGGCGTAGAAGTATATTCTACAAGCACCCAGCAATCCCAGTACAATCAAGCATACAACTCTCGTTTAACATAACAACGTCCTTGAGACAGTTAAGAAAATAGCATACTAAAATACACTGTAGCCAATCACAGCCATTGATTTTCCTGGTGGGAATTGAAATCTCAAGGTCATTTGATCAGCCCCTGCTGGCGAACGTGAAAACCGAAATACGGCATTATCAAGCGAATTTTGGGGATCTAACATCCCCATCAAGTAGTCTCTGACATCAATTCATTCGAGGCGTTCTCCCAAAATCAGAACACAGTTGAACCTGGAAATAGAGATTATATCCCAATAGCAAGGTTAGAAAGAGAGGCAGCCGTTTCAAATGAAAAAGGAATTAGTTTATTTCTAGTTTTCTTACATGCGAAGATTCTAGAATGTTCCCTCAGTATGGGCCAGCACTTATTGGATACGAAAGAGCCAATCAACGCACAACAACTCAATCATGCTTTATTCCAATCTATGTCCCACTGACAGGCTCAGATATATAGGAGACGGGGTCGAATCCGATGGAGAAATGTTCAAAGTACATGATAGAACATTCGAAAAGAATAATCTTTTCTACAATATTACTTACTCTATTACTAACGCCTGTTACTCGCCAATGGAGCGCATAAGCCGTTGACCAACATTCTTCAACCTACTCTGTCCTAGGCCTCCCTTCCTAGTTCGTTATTCTTATGTCTGTCAATACTGACGTATACCAAAATAAAGTTTCTTCTTGTGTTTAACTAACTCTATCCAAATTATACATGAGAGGCATTTATTCATTCATTCATTCATTTTATACTGTAGACAGATTATTTCAATGTTGCGCTATTCTTTTTTTTTTTACAAAATGATTAGATTAAACAAGAATTTCATGAATTAACCGATTATTTAAATAAATATTCACATTTATCACCAAATGATTTACAAATTGTTCTACAGAAAGAAATATTTGTAAGTTTTTTTAATCTGTCCTGTTTATTTGATATTTTTATGTTAAATACTTAGAAAGTACAATGATTTTTTGGATAATGTAAAGTTTGTATATGCCTACGGTGTCCGAGTTCGAATCCTATTGGAATATGACAAGTTAATGACTATTTGAAATAAGCAGTTAAGTAGGCAACGTGACGATATTTGAGGTGAACGGCACTAAGTTCGAGTTCTGGATGCAGATATATCTAGCTCGAGAGACGTCCTAAATTGGATAAAATAATTTATCCTAGATTTCTTTGTCAGCAACTAGCCAGCCCTGCGAATCAGAATTAATTCTGTTAATATGGTATTAAGTGATTGGTGAATATGCGACTTACTAAAGCCTGCTACTTCCAGTGGAGCATTTCCTTTTTCATGGCCGAAGTATAACAGCATTTCTCCTCAAGGTAGTAGTTTTCATTCGACCTGCCTATAAGGTTGTGTGTCACTAATTCCAAGTACTACCAGAGTGTATCTTTTCATTTCTGCAACAGTTTGGGTGACTCTCTCGGTCTCCCATAATGTATGAACATTCCATGTACTTAAGTTAATGGTTGTTCTGGTTGTAAGACGGGGCATCGACCTCGTGACTTACGATGAAATGTGGCTTTCACCATGAAGCTTCATAACTCTTCTTAAACAAGACCTAACTCCTAGGGCATATAGTTTACATGGTTTGAATTATGTTTGCTAACTTCATGGCCAAACCTCCTCCTTCATTATTCGGCCTTGAGACCGGTAGTAACCCTAGAGGGGCCCCAGGTGGAGTTCAGTACAAATGTAAATACAGTTCTAATGTATGGAGCTAAAGCTTGGAGAACTAGAAAAGCTATTGTTCACAAGATATCAGTGTTTATTAATAGTTGCCAACGCAAGATATTGAGGATTAGTTCGCCAGACACCATCAGGAACAACTTACTGTGGGAGAGAACAAACTCCAAGTCCACCGAGCAAGAAATTATGCGAAAGCTCTGGGGGTGTATAGAACACATTACTGAAAGCACCTGACTGTGTCACAGGGTAACCACACACTCTACCCTCCTTCTTTATCTGGGCTAAGAACAGGGAGTAGCCTCAGTGGGGCTCCAGGCGGAGGTGGTCAATGAATACATGATCTAGAATGACGTGTAAGGGGAAAAGAAAATGTGATTGCTCATCGTACATGGACAAACATGCACTTAGCCTACTGACTATTAAATATGTGATCTCCTTTCCTCTCATTGATTTCTATTGCGAATTTACTGAATGTGAAGAGTGCTTGTCGTTGTAAGGACTTAACTGTTGTCTATCGCTTATACCCTGATTCTTTATTTTTTTAATCGTTAATCTTGTGTCTGATTTAGCGTGATCTAGTCTCTCTCAGTGTGTGTAGTGTACCTACCGTTCGTCACTCAATTCACTCTCTATATGTAAGCCAAAGTGGATAAAGATTAGATTTGAAAAACACACTGTTACATCCTAAAAAGGTATTCATCCTACAAATGTTTGAATGTTGAACATTAATTGTCATCAATTGAATTGAACACTGAATATTTTGTTTATAATCATGTGATTTTACAATCATTTTTTTTGAAAAATATCCAGATGCACTCATAAATTGTTTTGTTTTCCGATATTCATCTTGTTATTACAAATTTTTATAAGTAATTTTTCAAGTTATCATTTGTAATTCATGTTTTACAAATGAAAATGAACAGTTCTAAAATTGATTTTTGTTTTAAAATGCAATTACGAAATGAAATGGCGCAGTTTTTTGATTTTGACATTGATTGATCATATTGAATTGTGATCAGCATCACATTTGTGTAATCCTTCTTTCGATCAATTTTGGAATGTGATTACTAATTTTCCACTGTGTTTTTCCCAAATCAAATTTATAACAGTTAGTTTTTATTTTTATCGTTTCTTGGTTCCTTGGTTAATTACGTCCTTTACTACTAATGGATCATGGACCACCGATCAAGCATTCTTCAACCTACTTTCTCCTGGAGCTTTCTTTTCAGTCCTATCCAGTTGGTGTTCATTCTCTTGATGTCTGCTTCCAACTGTAAGCGTAATGTGTTCTTTGGTTTTCCTCTTTTCCTTTGGCCTTGAGAATTCCAAGTGAGGACTTGTCTTGTGACAAAATTGGGTGCTTTCCTCTATATGTGCCCCGTTCACCTCCAGCACTTCTTCCTAATTTGTTACTCACCTCGATTCTGATTTGTTCTTTCTCATAGCAGGTCGCTGCTCATGGTGTCTGGCCGACGGATCCGCAGTGTCTTGCGTAGACAACTGTAAATAAACAAGAGTTTCTTTTTTCAATGGTGGATTACGTTGTTCTCCGAGTTTCTGCCTATACACGTGTATTGAAAATTGTCAGTTTGGTGTTGGTCGATAGGTATTTTGAGCTCCAATGTAGAAGTGCTACCTTTGATTTGCTGCTCCTTGCCTTTACATCCGCATCAGCCCCACCATATTCATCGATGATACTGCCCAGATATATAAAAGTTTCCACATCTTCAAATGCTTGTTCGTCGAATGTGATTTGGTTGATGCATGTTATGTTGCATCGGAGGATCTTTCTGTTTCCCTTGTAATTGTTGAGGCCTGCTTCTTGAGAGGCTGATCAATCTATAAGAAGAATATACAAATCTTTTGCTTAAAGGGGTCGGTCAACTGAGATATACATGAAAAGGAGGTCACAAAATCACCAAATTTTTATTACTTCGTAGAAATCATGAATCAATCAATGTTAGATAACTACCATTATAAACTTAGAGGCTCTGGATGACGGCCATTTCGTCTTGGTACGGGACTACTCGTCACTGGCAGTGTACATCCACAAATACTTCAGTCCGCAAGATTCGAACACATGACCTTCGGTCTTGCGCGTGCAGACGCCTAACCTCTGCACTACTAAGCCAGTATCTAACTGTTAATGTCTAACTTCGATCGATCCACAGTCTTGTGAGCAACCTCATCAACTACCTTCGGTTAGCAATGCTTCACACTCGAACAGGGTTGAACTTCACTGGTCATGTTAAACTCATGGTAATCGATAAACAGGAAGTGCTCTTCTCGAAATCAATTTTTCGTATAATTTGCACCTATTTAGTCTGATTGGTTGCCACCACTTTCGAATCGATTTTAAGTTCATCCAATATCCTAAGAGAATTACTAGTCAATTTCTATTGGTTAATTTCTACTGGTCAATTTTATGGTCGTCCTAGATATCTATTTCACGTACTCCAATGTTGTTTCTGATTGGTCGTTCAGACTATCAATGTCACAGACTTCAATGTTGTCTCCCATAGGTCGTCCTAACTGTATAAATACGCATCATCTGTAACGTTTTATGATCCGGACACGGACCCGGATCCCTAGTCCGGTTCTACTTCATATCAAGTATTCTTCTTTTATTCAATGGAAGGTTGGGACACTCGGATTAGAGTAGCATGTCATGTCACCGGATCCTCGATCCTCACTCTCGTTTTTCGACCAAGCATATCAAAATGACATGTTTACATTCATGAGTACCAGTTTTACTTTTGCTGTTATTGTTGTTATATCAATTTTGTTTTGTTCTTCTATCTGTTCTGTTTTTTAAATATCATGTTTTTGCTACATTTCGTTTTATTTCCGTTTTTGCGGTTAAACGATGTATTCCGTATAACCATATCGATCATATTCGGATAACTCAACTGTTCTTAAATTTCACATTCTAAACCTTTAACATAACAAAGTTAACAATACAAAAATATGGATATGTGTGACCTTGAGGTCACATAAACGTTCATAATTCGGAAATCATCCAATCAGAATAACACAAATATGATTAGTCATATTCTTAATTTATATAAAGTTTATATGAATAACGATGATTGGTTGAAATATTTTCAGAATTCTGTTGGATTTGTGAATGATTTGTGAATGATTTGACATAGATAAATATATTGATCTTCAACTTGTGAATCGATCTTTGTAAGTTCGCAGACATTAGAAACCTGGAAGTACTGAACGACCGTTTTGTCCTAGTGTTGGGACTCATCAGCTATGCGCATCCACGTCCTCCCTGAACTGGAATCGAATCCAGGAGCTTGTGTTTTACCAGCGGTTAGCTTCGTGATAAAATTATCGGAGTTCTAGTAAGAATCTGTGACCAATGGAGTTCACCCCTGTCATCTGTGAGATAGTTACTTACCAACGACAATGGATGTAGTCGTAGAATACCGTAGACTGATTGCAGTTAGACGTCAACACCGCTGGATACCGGCTCAGTGGACAGGGGATTAGGCGTCCACACACAATACCAGAGGTCCTGTGTTCGATTCCCGTGGATGAAGATCGTTGATGCGCACTGTCAATGAGTCGCATACTAGAACGAAACAGCCATCCAGTGCTTCCAGGTTTTCAACAATGCTCGATTCATAAATTCACATGAAACTCTACCATTTTCACACACAATTCAATATTCATTTGTATCGTATTGTGTGTATATTTACATTTCTTTACATTACTTAGACAATTGATATTGAATTGTTGGAAAATCGTCGTGAATTAGCTAATCTGTTTAAAAATCTTCATCTTGCTGAATTAATGCATCATCGTTTGAGTAATCTCACTTGGTTGGAACATCGAAATCGTTGGCAAATAATCAATATTAATGAAGCTATCAATAAATTTCGGTAAAATGATGATAATAATTATTATAAATGCATATATTTTTTAAAATGAAAAACCAGTTTCTCATTATTCTACTTGTTGAGATAATGGAGTATATTGGCAGTTAATGAGCAGGAAAGGTTTAAACTACTACTTACTTACTTACTTACGTCTATTTCGCTTAATCGAGCATCGACCAACGAACAGCATTCTATAATCAACTCTGCACTGAGCCGTCCTTTCCAGTTCTTTTCGATTGATACTCATTTGTCTCACGTTAGTCTCCAATCCTAAGCGTTATATGTTCTTTGGTCTACCATCTTTTCCTTTTGCGTCGAAAATCCCGAGTAAGGGCTTGCATCGTGATTCAGTTGAGTGATTTCTGCAAAATGTATTGTATGCATTCTGTTGGGGATGTTAGGTCCCCAGAACTCGCTTGATAAATGCCTTATTTTGGTTTTCACATTTGCCAGCATGGGCTGATCAGTTGACTTTGAGATTTCATTTCACACCAGGAAAATCTATGGCTGTGTGATTGGTTGCTGTGTATTTTAATGTGCTATTTTCGTAACTGTACCAAGGACGTTTCTATCATGTATAAATAAACGCGAGTTGTGTGCTTGATTGTACTGTGTGTTTGCTGGGTGTTTGTAGAATATGCATTCTACGCTTATCAAGACTTCTCTCTTGTGCCGTTTTCGGATCAAGGTGGCCTACCTGGACTTGGATTCATTGTCTCGTTCTCATTTATCGACTAGGGCGAACCCGTGATAGCTTCAAGCGTACCTAGTGACGAACCTAACACATTCTCAGCGCTTCTTCCTGACTTCCTCCTCCACTGGATTGTGTTTTGTTCTCTCCAACAGCAGATTACTGCTGATACAATCTGATTAACGGATAAGCAATATCTTGTGTAGACAACCATTATTTAAATACATCTGTCTCCTGTGCATGATAGGTTTTGTAGTTTATCAAGTTCCCCCTCCATACAATCGACCGGCTTTGACTTTCGTAATGAAAATAATCACTTTGGTGTTGTTTGAAAGATAGTTGTTTTGAGTTGCAGATATTCTTCAATTGTAGAACTGCTAGCTACCCTTGCTTCATCATGTGCATCAGATCCGATTCAGTTGTCAATGTGATACAACCTAGTTATACAAAAACATTTCCACATCTTCCACAAAGCTTCTCCATCAAGTGTGATTTGGTCGGTGCATGTTGTGTTGCATCGGAGAATGTTGCTTTTTACCTTGCGTGTATATGCGTGTGTGTGTGTTTGTTGAGGCCTATACTTACACTTGCTAATACTCCATCATAGATTTTGAATGTTAGCTATCAGTATGTAGGGTTCGTCACTTAGTATGCTTGAGGCTATTATGAGTTTACCCTAGTCGATAAACGCGAACGAGACTTTTACCAGCGTCCAGGTAGGCTACCTTGAATCAAAACAGAAGTCTTGGTAAGCGTAGAAAGTATATTCTACAAACACCCAGCAATCACACAATACACCCAAGCATACAACTCTTGTTTATTTATACAACATAGAAACGTCCATGGGACAGTTAAGAAAATAGCACACTAAAATATACAGCAGCCAATCACAGTCATGGATTTTCCTGGTGCGAAATGAAATCTCAAGGTCAACTGATCAGCCCATGCTCGTAAACGTGAAATCCAAAATTAAGGCATTTATCAAGCGAATTTTGGGGATCTAACATCCCCAACATAGTAAAACTCAGAATATACATTTTTTAAAATCTAATTCCATGGATTTGAATAAATTCGTTGAGAAGATTGTTTGATTGTTATTTATTGAACTGATTGAAAGTGTTGCATTACATATGCTTAACAATAAACTACCTCTAAGCATGATTTTGACTAAAGTGGTAATTTGATCACCGACGAGGAACTGTGGTGCGAGCTACTTATAAGTAGTATATGACGTGAGTGTCAACGTAATGTCTGGCAGCAGAAGATGGGGGTAGATCAAGAAAGAAAGAGTTAGAACACAATGGAATTTGTATGAAACACATGAATAGTGACAATGGATTGATGTTTTGCAACAGGAACAGTCCAGTTCGATTTGATGAACTGATATTTTGCTAATTAACGACTTAGATATGGTTTTCCAATTTTAATGAGTAACTTTGTAATTTTCGTTAAATACAATTCGGTTGCCTTCACCTGTGTTCTCCTTCACTACAGAATAAGTCTGTGAACTCAGTAAAAAAACTGTTTGTTTTCAACCTATATGCAATCTTGTCGGTTTGGAGTTTATGGGATTATTGCGACAAATAGTCAACAAGTCAGAAGAAATTGGAAAACTCTAAGCTTGATATTATATCATGCGATCATACATCCATTCCATTGAAGTTTATCATATTAGAATGAAACATGTGTGCAATATTTGCTTGGTTTTTGCGTGAAAGTAACCCAACTAAGAATAATCTGTAATGAATGCCGTCATTGTGTTATACTCATTATTATTGTTCTTACAGAGTTTGTCTTAATGATGAGAAATTCCAATATCCTAATGATGTTAAATTGGAGATGAACAAGTTGACAATGAAATCTTTGGAATTTGAAAAGCGAAAAGACAATCTGGTCGATGAATTATGGTAAGTAGTGCTAGTAGTATCTTATTGTGTAAATGATTTAAATATTTTTTGAATCACTTACACTAGGATTCCTAATACCAATTTGCTTGATGAGTCGGAAAAGTTGTCTACTGTTGCCTATCGCCACAGCCTTTTCCATCGCTTTCACTTTCGCCACCCACCACTGTTCACGGTCGTTGCGCAGGCTCTTTATCAGCCTGCGCCTAAGCTGACTTCGTTCTTCATCATGTTCAGAGCCAGGTGGGATGAGTTTTCGGGCATCCATCAGATCGGTGGATACTTGACTATCGTGATGACCCAACCGAACTATACTGGCTGGAACATAAGTTCCTGAAGGTCCTACCATGCCAGGCAGGTCGATTGGAGAACGATGAGACTAAAAGCAGTTACTCAAGGTCTGAGGGCGAAGTCGTACTGCTGACTGCAGAGGGGTGTGACAGCTGTAAGGCGTTTCCCTCGGACAACCAGTACCTGCAACGATGCTGCCTTCTCACAAGGAAGGAAGAGTTAGAAAAGGTCGACCCTAAAAATGTCACACCTCCCTATTCTTCTCCATTACTGTTATTACTTATATTATTGCTATCACTGTTAGATTTGAACTGACAGTTGCGTCTCTGTGCTGATGGGGCATGGTAACCTGAACTGATGTACTTACGTACGAAGTTGTGTGTTGTATCTGTCTGTCTGTCTGTCTGTCTGTCTGTCTGTCTTTAAATGTATTTATTACCAGATATTGAAAGAGGAATAAAATACAAAGTTGAATGTATACGCATGTAATGAATTGGTTAATATGTTCTTATGAAAACATTACAGAAGGCTCGATTAGCTTCCGGCAACTAGCGTTCCTTATGGCTAACCAGAGAAAGAGTCTACTGCACAGCAGCTCGCTCTAACCTACTCAATGGCTGTGAAACACGGCCGATGAGAGTAGAAGATAATCTTAGGTTATTTGTATTCGATTATAGATATCTACAATTACCCATACTTCTGATTTGTACTGTCTGTTTCTGCTCATTGGCTGAAAGTGGCAACCTCTAAAAGACAAGGTCATTCAGATGTTGCTATTAGCTAGTTCTCGTTTTCTCTAGTTACATACCTGTTCCATTCCACTGATCATGACTGGTCATCGGAACTCCAACAGTATATTACGAGATGGTGGAGAAAATTTGTAGCTCAGGTGAATGATTGTGGTGGTGCTTAGTTCTCCAAAACAACCAGCTCAGAGAACTAAACGCCACCACAGTATGTTACAAACGCATTGAATTTATAGACAGATTGCTGGACGCACGTTTTATTTTAGTATGAGGATATAGTCGACAGTGCACAACCCACATTCTGGAAACGAACCCAGAGTTTTCTATCTCACTTGCATGCACCTAACCTCTATGTACAGGCCTAACTTCAATCAATCCACAACGTTACATGACGGTCCTCACTTGAGACACGATTTTACTCCACAGGTTACGGCTTTTAACTATAGAACTTGGGAATTCTTCTCTCAAAGTTAGTCATCAATGAGCTCATTATTATTTACTGTTGGAATGAGTCTGAAGAGAATATTGAATTTTATGGAGATAACACATTAATCTAAGATAGATCGAGACCAAAGTTTCCAGGTTCGATTCCCGGGTCATGAAAGCGTTATGCTAGGATGGTTCATACATGATCGAAGTGACCCCGTCTAGTGCTTCCACGTTTTCAATGCTTGTCCAGCTTGGATCTACTTATGTACCAGACAAATATTATCAGTTTGTAAATCAGTACCCCAGATCTAAACGTGATGCGCGCTAGGCCACCTCCTAAGCAGACTACTCGAAAGTGAAGGCATGAGCGAAAGAGAAATTCTGTTTGGCTACCGAATTATATACAAAGATAGAAGTTTATATATATGCATTCCTTTCCCTTAGAAATTGAATTCCTTTCTTGACCAATGATATGCGTTCATATTTTAGGACACTTCTGATTGGCTCATTGTATCACATTTCTCGTCATTTCAGTTTCATTAAATAATCAAATATTTTTGAATAATTTTTTTATCCAGTGAAAATTTAATACCATCAAATAATATGAAAGAATTTCTCGAAAAATGGGATGTTAAAACCAAACAGTTATTCACAGAATGGGGTATGTTATCTTAATTTTATTCATTTAGTTTGTGGTGTATGTTCCATTGTGTTAAACCTGCATGGCTTGTCCTAACTTTTGGGTAAACGAATTATCGTTTTTCACAAGCATTAAAAACCTGGAAGAATGGTAGACCGTCATTTCTTCCTGGTATGGGACTTAGCGGTGTGCATCCACGTCTCCTGCTACTCAAAGTTAGTAAATAGTGAAGAAAAATGACTGAGGTTTCGCGAAAACCCTGGATTGCTCAGAGTTAGATGCCGGATCGGTGGTCGGGAGGTTTGGTGTTTGCACGCAAGACTGGAGGTTTTAGGTTCGAATCTTCCGAGTGGCATGTGTCCTCTATGCACACTGCTAATGAGTTCGATATTAGGACAAAACGGCTGTCTTTCAGTGCTCGCAGGTTTCTCTAATGGCGGTCTAATAATGATCGATTCATGATTTCAGTAATAAACTAATTATCCTTTTCCACCTCATTTAATACTGACGCTTCTTTTGTCCTTGTCAATTATTTCTTAATAGGATTGGTTGTTTCTGTTTGAGTATGTATGTCGATGCTCACTCCACTTATCATATGTCTAGCCTATTTTTGTCTGACAATAAGTACTTAGTCATGCTTCAGAGCATCGGAGAGCTGGCTCACTCGCCTTCTCCATTTCGCTTCGCTTTGCATTCTAACGCCTGTCTGCGTGAACAGTCGTATGAAATAAACTCATTTAACTGAATCTATATTTGGCTGCTTCTTACCGCCGTCGCACAAACGGGGTTCGCTTCAGAATGATGTTCATAACCATTCGTGAATGCAATAATGAACTTTACATACATGACAATGGTTATCACTCATTAATTTGAAGTTAACTGTAAATAACAATCCTACAGAGAGTTATTCCAATCATGAATAATTCAATGGTAATGCCTCAGACTATGTCTGAATCTAGATTAAAACGGATCTGAGCCATTTATGAAGTATCAGCTTCTTCATGATGATAAATGCTGAACAGCATAAAACTGCGCACCAGAGTTTTCTGTTAACTTCATATCACTCTAGAGAAGTGATTTCAATAATGTGACGATTGAAACCAAACAGATCAGCAGCGAAATGGTTGCGAATTCCCTAAGACTAGAGATGAAAATCATTGAAAACCAACCAAATAACTGGTAATTTAAGCACTCCCCACAAAGTATGTTTGACATAAAATTACTGCGACAATTTTTTTGTAAGTGTCATGCTCATCAGATGATATGCTTGAATGCCATTACGAGTTCACCTTAGTCGGTAAACGCGAGAGAACACAAATGAACCAGTGAGACTATAGACTACACTAATCCGAGCGTCCAAAGGCCCCACTAAGTAAAGGAAGAAGTCTTGACAAGATGTAGAGAGTGTATTCTACAAGCACCCAGAAAATATAAGGTTGACAAGCACACAAATCGAGTTTATTTATACAAGATAGAAACGTCCTTGGGAGAGCCACAAAAATAGCCTACTAAAATAATACATCAAACAATAACAGTCAACGACTTTCCTAGTGGGGAATGTAACCTCAAGGTCAAATGATCAACGCATACGCAAAAGCATAAATTCCAAAATTAGGACCTTTATGAAGTGAGTTCTGGGGATCTAACATCCGCAACAGTAAGACTTCTCAAAACTGCATACTTGTAATCGGACCCCAGGATTAATAATCTTAAATTAAATGGAGTAATGTCATTGTGTATGGCAAACGGACAAGATATATGTCGATGAGTTTTTCTCTAGACGTCCAAAATAAACTGAATTCAAGGAACATGTAACTGTTTGCTCATATGTTATCAATTATGATACTGTAAACTAAATTGTCTTGTATCTAAAAGATGTAGTGTGAACGCTCATTGATCAGACCTATTGGTGGTTACCGGAAGTGTCAATGAAACCTTTGATTCACCTGTTGGAAAAGAAACGTGTAACTTTAAAACATTGAGGCATTACGGGGTACAGTGTAATAAATATTGAATGAGAATTGTGTTGAGTCCAATAGAGAATAGAGACTGAAGAACAAAAGTATGTTGAATGAAAGTAAAGCATTGAAATCTCAAAGAACGTTTTTCAACAATACAACATATATTTCGATTCAATTTGAAAATAGTTTACCGATTATCTTCCGTTGCTGATAGTTTTGACTGAAATTTAATCGGTCCATGGCTGACATGCAGACAGACATCTGATGCCGATTGCCTTGATATAGTCATTACGACAAACACTGCAAGTCACATTTTATCTATTCTGCGTGTCGATACAATGCAACATGGGAACGTTAAATCCCCAGAATTCACAGGATAAAGGTCTGAATTTTGGATTTTATTCATGAGCTGATTACATTTCGCACCAGGAAAATCCTTGGCTGTGATTGGTTACTGCGTTATTTTAATGTTTCTATGATGTATAAATAAACGCAATTTGTGTGCTTGAATGCATTGTGCTTGCTGGGTGTTTGTAGAATACACTTTCTACACCATATCAAGACTTTTTCGTTAGTTCCTTTCCTATCGTGTCAATGTTTCATTGTCTTGTTCTCGTAATAGTTACAAGCATATCAAGTGACTAGCATAACACTTGATGGAGATGCCTTAGAAAATGTAAAGCACATTATATAACTGGGTAGCATCATTCCCGATCATGGTGGATCTGATGTAAATATGAAGGCATGGATCGATAATGCAAGGGTTGTATTTCTACAATTGAACAACATCTGCAAATCAAAATAACTGGCAACCAACACAAAAGTAATCATTTTCAATACAAATGTCAAGAAAGTTTTACTGTATGGAGTGGAAACTTGGAGAACTATGAAAGCCATCATCCAGGAGATACAAATGTTCATTATTAGTAGTCTATGCAAAATAGGCTGGCCAGACACTATCAGCAACAACCTACCCTGGAAAAGAACAAACCAGATTCCTACTGAGCAAGAATTTAGAAAGCGCTGGAGGTGGATAGAAAACACATTGCGGAAAGCACTCAACTACATCACAAGGCAAGTCCTAACTTGAAATCCTCAAGGACAACTGAGAAGCATTAGGCCAAAGAACACATCGCACCGAGAAATTTAGACAGATACGAGAAGAATGAACAACCGTAACTAAACAGAACTAGAACGGAAGTTCGAGAATAGAGTAGGTTGGATAATGCTTGTCAGCGGACTATGCTCCATTCAAGCGTAACAGGCATCAGTAAGTAGGTGATTATGTAGTGTTAACTTGTATACGTGTATATGCAATAAATGACTCATCAAACTTTATTCAAAAATATCAACAACTGAGATAGTCGAAAAACCATTTCCGATTGAACTGAATCTCAAACTCAACACACAAATGAATGGCTACCTGAACTCAATAACTAAGTGAAAGATGCAATAACACTTGAAGTGAACACTACCAGGTTCGTTTCATGAAGTGGAAATCAAATTCGGAGATTTGTCTGGTACATTTAGATAGAGATAAGTCTCAAATAATAAGAAACAAACAACATATGTCAAGGATAAAACTATTCTAGCCACATTTTATCTCTTCTTCACAACATATTTTTGTTTGCATTACGCGGTTGTGAAGATTGTTGAGTTGCCGGCTCAGTGGTCTAGCAGTAGGGGCGTTCGCGCACAAGACCGGAGGTCCTGGATTCGAATCCTGCGGGGTGCAGGAGTAGTGGGTGCGCACTGCTGAGGAGTCCCATCCATACCGAGACGAAACGGCCGTCTTTCAGTGCTTCTTCCAGGTTTCTAATGGTGGTCTAACATTGATCGATTCATGGTTTCAAAAAATATTTTTGTTTATCTAAAGTATGCACTGAATTTTTTTCGAAAAAAAAAGTCTCCCACTTTTATCATCAACAATTTTATAGATGAAATGAATCAATCTATTTTGAATTCAATTTACAAAGCTTATGAAGATAATTCACAACAGTGTATTGATCAAATTCAACAGATGAAAGTAAGGAAGTTAGTTAGTTAGTTATTAAAACTCGTGTTTCATTTAAACAAAAAACTTTAAACTATGGCAGATTTTCGATTGATCTATATTAAAACACATAACTTTACAATCTTTGATTCATAATCAAATGCTTTTAAACTCGATTATCATTTAAATAAAAGTGATTTGATAGTCTATTGTTAGTGAAAACGTTTACTGATAAGAAGTTTCTCATTCAGTTGATAAAATATTTTATTCAAGTTCTTTTTCTGAACAGTTGAGTAGAACTGAAAAGAAAAAGGCTTGGGACAGAGTAGGTTGCAGAATGTATGGTCGGTAGTCTATGCTCTGCGGGGGGTAAGGGGTGTAAGTAAGTAAGTGCATAAGTGCATAAGCAAGTAAGTAAGTAAGCAAGTAAGTAAGTAAGTAAGTAAGTAGGTAGGTGAGTGAGTGAGTAAGTAAGTAAGTAAGTAAGTAACTAAGTAAGTAAGTAGGTAGGTAGGTAAGTAAGTAAGTAAGTAAGTAAGTGCATAAGTAAGTAAGTAAGTAAGTAAGTAAGTAAGTAAGTAAGCAAGTAAGTAAGTAAGTAAGTAAGTAAGTAAGTAAGTAAGTAAGTAACTAAGTAAGTAAGTAAGTAAGTAAGTAAGTAAGTAAGTAAGTAAGTAAGCAAGTAAGTAAGTAAGTAGATAGTTGAGTGAATGAGTGAGTAAGTAAGTAAGTAAGTAACTAAGTAAGTAAGTAAGTAAGTAAGTAGGTAGGTAAGTAAGTAAGTAAGTAAGTAAGTAAGTAAGTAATTAAGTAATTTTTTTTCTGAATTTTCAAAATCTTAAAACTTTAACTACAGTCGAAATAAAGATTAAGAGAGGTTGGCTTTGGTGTTGGAAACTTCATTCTGTTAAAAAAGAACCTTTACCGTTAAACTACTGAAACTCAAATGTCAGTCAGTTAGTCAGCTACAGAGAAGAACTTCTTGCAAACTTGCATCAGTTGAAGTTTCCATGCCACATTAGCGCAGACAGACGCCACTGTCAATTCAAATTCCATTGTAGTAGATGGAGTAGAAGTGTTAGCAGTAATCGGAAACGTTAGGGTTCGGCAATATTATTTAAGAATTAGAATCTAGTGACAAACAGAGCCCTTCCACGGTGTGGGCAGCCAGGAAGTAACATCCATGAAATATCTGCATAATGTGAAGCGAATACTAGGTCAGATAATAACAGTTAAATATGTCCACTGGAAGGTCACAATGGGTAGAAACTAAAAATACCGATAAACAATTGTCTATAAATTATTATACTACTATTATAAATAATAGTAGTTCGAAAAATAATGCCTCAAAAATACATTTTTGTAAA